ACAGGGCAGTGACAAACGTCCAAGTGCCACCTTCACACAAAACACAAGCAAACCGCGTGCTTTGTGTGCATCAGGCACTTTGCAGCCCACCACAGTTAGGGCAGGTGTTCATTTCTTGAACCACATGACACGTGGGGATTTATCTGTTTCCATGAACTGCTGTTGAACCACAAGTTCCCAAAGGGTCTGGCTCTTGTCATGCCTCAGAGAGAAATATTTTGGGGTTTCCAACTGTAGCTGCTCCTCTCCCGAGGCTCAGGGTCACGGGTGGCTGCAGTTGCATCCCACTGTAAGAACAAGGATGTCTAAGCCTTGCAGGACCTGCCTGGGATCCCTGGGGATCCACAGCTTTGCCACAGCCTGGATTGCAACCCTAATCCCTTAGCAGATGCTGAATAAATTTCAGCTGATTCTCAGTCCTGTCCTTTAGCAGCCACCAAGCCCCAAATGCACAGAGTACATTTTTGGGATGCCACTTCCCTGTGTGTCTTGAGAGCCGAGGGCAGGGAATTCTTGTTCTACAGGAATATTATTCTATGCACAAGGACATGTAGGGAGAGATAAGGGGGAATGGCTTCACACTTACAGGGGCAGGGTTAGATGGGATATTGGGAAGAAATTCTTCCCTGTGAGGGTGGGAAGGCTCTGGCACAGGTTGCCCAGAGAAGCTGTGGCTGCCCCTGGATCCCTGGAAGTGTCCAAGGCTGAGTTGGACCTGCCTGGTTCTAGTGGAAGGTGTCCCTGCCTATGGCAGGGGGTTGGAATGAGATGAGCTTTGAGGTCCCTTCCAACCCAAACCATTCTAGGATTCCATGATTCTATGAAACAAACAAACAAAAAAGGGGTAGAAGTATTTAAAGTCCTTCCTCCTTCCAGTTTAATAATTTTTTTCAGTGCCTTCTGTTGGTATCTCAGGTATTTCCCTGTTCAGCTGCTCTCAGTGAACATGCACAGAAAAACCTAAAACCTCAGTGGCTTTTAGTTAGGAAAAAGCCCTGCTAATTACTCCATCACATTAGGAAAAAAAAAAACCAACTCAACTGAGAAGTGATAAATTAATCATTAGCTTGAAAAGAAAGAGCTGTGTATATCCCACACATTTCCATACAGGTGGGAAACACCTTTTTTTTGGTGGGTTTTTTTTTCCCCCATCTGGCTGGATAAACTGTTACTGGAGCAGCCCAGCAATTTAAACATGCCCTGAGCCGCACAAACAAAGGCCATTTCTCAGAGATATAAAGTACACACGAGGGCAGGGGGATACCAGGGGATTAGGCCGTGGCGGAGGGAGGCGGCTGCGACAACAAAGAGCAAATTCACGGCCGGGGTCCTGCCCCGTATGAGGTCATTTTCTGTCGGAGTTGGGCTCATTAGTCCAGCTGGCTTGTTGATCCAGCCCGAAGTGTGGGTGACGAGTGTGACTGGGTTTGCTGTGTCAGGCCTGCCCGACACGCGGGGCTGCAGCATTGTCTGTCCTGGGAACGGGGCCGTTAATGACACCAAGCGCCCCGGCCGCGTGTCCAGGCCGCGCGTCCCGCGGGGTCAGGCCTGTCCCAGAACCGTCAGGGCCTGACAGCTGAGCGTTTAAACAACGGGAGAGTGGTTTGTTTGGGACAATGGGGGAGAGGGCTGGGTCACAGGACTTCATTAGGTACCTTCCTCCAGCCAAGCCCCCCGACCAGGGCCACCTCTGTTGTCCTTCACATCACTCTCAAGCACAAGTGCTGTGAGGAGAGGCTGAGGGAGCTGGGGGGGCTCAGCCTGGAGAAGAGGAGGCTCAGGGGAGACCTCCTCACTCTCTGCAACTCCCTGACAGGAGGGGGGAGCCGGGGGGGGTTGGTCTCTTTTCCCAGGCAACCATCAGCAAGACAAGAGGGCTGGGTCTGAAGCTGTGCCAGGGGAGGGTTAGGTTGGATATTAGAAAGAATTTCTTTCCAGAGAGGGATCAGCCCTTGGAATGGGCTGCCCAGGGAGGGGGTGGATTCTCTGTCCCTGGAGGTTTTTAAGGACAGACTGGATGTGGCATCAGTGCCATGGACTGGGAACCACAGCAGTAGTGGATCAAGGGTTGGACTTGATGATCTCGGAAGTCCCTTCCAACCCAGCTGATTTTATGATTCTCCTGGGATGGTTTGGGTTGGAAAGGACCTTTGGAGGTCGTCTAGTCCAACCCCCATGCAATGAGCAGGGACATCTTCAACAAGACCAGGTTGCTCCAAGCACCATCCAGCCTGACCTCGAATATTTCCAGGGATGGAGCATCCACCACCTCTCTGAGCAACCCGTGCCAATATTTTACCACCTTTGTTGCAAAAAATTCCTTTGGAGCAATCCCAAGCTGTGTTTCTCCACAGGGCTTTGGGATGTGGGAGCTCCAGATGAGCTAAGCATCACCATGCTACCTTTTCCCCTGGTGTAAATACCCCAGCCCAGTTACAAACTCTTCCTTTTGTATTTTATTAAACATCATGAGGATAAGCATTACATCTTTTCTTGCCACTGTGGAAATGTTGCTGCATCTCTAACCCAAGCACTTGGGGTGGCTTTTGGGTGGCCACAGAAATTGTTTCATTCAGGTATTCCATCTCAGAGGCCACTGAATGTGCCATTATTGCTTCTCAGTCGAGTTTGGGGCTTGAAGAGTCAAGTACTTAGGTCTTGTTTTCCAAAGTATCTTGAAATACTCAAGCCTGAAAATTGTTATGTGCTCATTGCAAAAGCTCTTGACCATGTGGTTATAGGAGGGAGTCACTAAAATGCTTTTTTCTAATCTTTTAAAAAGAAAATTATTGCTTAAATCTGGCTCTTTTATTAGGAATTAGGGACTAAATCCCTTAGACCATAAGTGCTCGTTTTTTCCTTTTTTTTTAAACTCGTGCTGCATAACCAGTAAATTACATAATTAGTGGTAAATTATTTCAAGAAGCGATTCTTAAATTTAGGACAAGAAGTGGACCTTTCATTTCCCTGAGTGGAAACAGATGATGAAGCTTCTGATCTGGGAGGTTTCCATCCCAGCTGAGAGTTTGGACAATGCTGAGGAAGGAATGGATGTGGGAAAAGCCTGGTCCCAGGCAGGTGCCAGTGTGGTACAGCTGAGTGGATGCAGGAATGCTGGACTCCATGAGGATGCTCCAGCTCCTTCAGCTCAGCAGCTCCCAGAGGTTTTTCCCCTTCCATTCTGGTTCAGACAGATATAAAGTCTTTGGATTTAGAGGTGGGCTTTAGCCAAAACCCAAGTCTTGATGTCCAGGGATGGCTGGAGGGTGGAGTGTCTGCTTTGGTTGGTCTGAGTATCCCCCTGGCAGTGGTGGGTCACAGCACCCAGCCACTACCACAGCATTTTGGAGATGAAATATTAGTTTTCCATTCGTTGGTCTGGGTTCTATTTCCACCCTGAGAGCTGGCAGAGCTTCCCAAAGTGCCTGACTGCCTTTGAAACCCCTGTAACAGTGGCTCTGATGAAGCTGGAGGGAGGATATTCCAAGCCCAGATTTTCCTGCTGCTCTGGCAGGGCAGCATTAGGAAATGACAGGCTGCGGTGCACGGATAGCACTGGGAAAAGGCTCCACTTCATTTTACTCCAACCAGGAAGTTTGTTCACCCAGAAGCCCTTTTGGGGGAGCTACTTATTTTCTAATCTTGTGGTAATAATGGAGTGATGCAGAAGTCTGGGGATAATGAAGACAAACTGATTTCCTAATGCACCGAGCACAAAATAGAAGCAGGGAAGGGTTTCAGCAACGAGACAGAAAAAGAGTTTATTTTAAATAAAGATTACAAAAATAACCTACTGTCAAAGATGATGTGAAAAACCATTAAATAGCAATTTAACGTAATTATAATCGCGGGTGAGCTAAGGGCTATCTTACACAATTCCAATCAATCTTGCTGTCTGGCTGTGTTATCCTGAGCCCTCAGTCCTGACTCCAGCGTTCCCCCTGCAGAAGGGCTCTGTTTAGGAAGCAATTCCATGACAGCCAAAGCCATTGGGACCGAGGGATGTCCCCTGCCTTCCGCAGCCGTGCCAGCCCTTTGCGGGAGTCGAAGCCGGAGTGTGGCACCTCCCAGGGATCTCACCAAACGAGGAGCAGATGGCACCATCATGCTTGGCTGTGCTGGAATTTTATGAGCATGGTGGATCCTTATTTACTAAGCTGGCAGAACTCTGCATGCCCCTACCCTTTCCCAAGAAGGGCATCGATCAGCCAGACTGTGCTGTGCTCATCCCACGAAGTGCTTCTGCTCCCAGGAAATCATGTGCAAGAGAGAAAAGGGCACTGGAAGAGCCTTCAAACTGAGAATCAAATGTCTGTGCAGGTGCCCGTAGGTGTTGGTGGGACCCTGCATGTTGGGTCATGGTGGCCTTGGCCGGGACTCAGAGCAGGGTTGTGATGTCTCATGTTTCCCCCCAGCATTTTGGTCTGAAACAAAGGCTCCTCTGTCAGCCTGGGATGAAGAACCCAAGAAAAATTGATAAAACTTATCCTGGTAATCTAATTTAGTGCTGGTTTGAAGGATTCTCTAGTCATGGGAGGTTAATCAGAGACTGATGGGATTTGGGAGTTGCCCTTCATTGCAGTTTTGGCAATGCTGGACCGAAATATCATAGTGGGGAGCTGATGGCACCATCCTGCCCCAACTGGCATGATTTATATCCCAACAAGGGGGTGAGGTTCAGCCCAGCTTTGGACATGCTGGGAAGAGGTTGAGTGTCTCTTGTTCCCATGAAAATCAACGTGAAGGGCCAACATTTTCCCTGCTTGCCAACGTGTCCCAGGGTGCTGGTCCCAAAGAGGGCTGCACCCTTCTCCATGGCACCTGGGAATGCAAAGAGAAGGCAGAGCTGGACCAGGAGTGGTTGGGGGTTTCTCCATGTCAGTTGGATGTTTCTGGATTGACAGTTGGACTTTATGATCTCAGAGGTCTTTTCCAGCCTTTGTGATTCCACGAATCTTTGATGGGTCTTTGGGAAGCACAAAGGCTTTTGCTCAAGTAGCTCTGAGCAGCTTCTCCCGCCTCCTCCTGAGCCAAAGAACCCTTCCCAACACTCCATACTGGTATTTTCCAGGTCAAGCTTAGCCACAGTGTTCTCTGGATTGCAAAGTGAGCAACAGGGAGGCAGGACCAAGGGGGAGATGCCCTCAACCACTGTCAGCAGCCTGAGGGAGCTCATTTCATCCCCAGGCAAAGGGGAGCTGGGGATTAGCTTTGCGTAAAAGATTGTTCTGAGGGGGTAAATGTACTAATTAATTTGATTTTCACTTGGAAAAGGGGTGGTGGTTTGAGAGCTAAAATTGCCTGATTATTGCCAGCACATAAATTTCTCCTAGAAATGTGGCTGCAGTTTATCCTGATCATATTCAACTTCAGGCAATGAAAATTCTTCTTTCTGTTTGTTTTGGCTCTCCTCTTGCTGCTACAGCGTCTGCAAAAACATGTCATGCATGAAATGCTCCCCTCCATTTCGACAAGTTGTTCCTTATTCTTGCTAATTTTTCATTAAGAAAAATGCCAGGAACACCAGAGACCCCGACAGGTCTCTGTAATAGCTGTGCAGCAAGATTAAAGGCTGAGAAGTGTGGGGCTGCTGGCATCGCTTCCTATCCATTATTTTAATGTCTTTGTTGGGGAAAAAAAAAAGTCTCCCGACCCATTCCTGCACTTCTCAGCCACGACAGCTGGAATTTTGCCTCTGGAAAACACTCACGACAGGGTGTAATGTATAGTTTGTACAAGGTAAATGTGCTGGTCAGGCCGGGTTGTTACACACCGTGTTCAGCCAAAAACTGCCTCGAGCTGGCTCTGGGTGCTGCTGGTGGCTGAAGGGGGGCAATTAGTGTGATTAGAGCAGAAAGTGGAGGTTCCAACCAAAACAAGGGGGTTAGTGGGATAGAAAAAGTAGAGTTTCTCAACCAGTTCCAAATAACTCAACAACGGGGTCGTGTGCCGGGTGAAAGGGACCATGAGGCACATGGACCATAGGTGGGGATGAGGAGCAGGGTTTTGGTCATGGCCCACACTGATGCCTTAAATAGGAGCAGGAGAGATGCTCTGGAGGTGAAATTCAAGGCTGAAGTTTCCATGGATATGTCCTCTAAATCCCTGTAAGAGTTGGGGAGGTCTGAGAAGGGCAGAGGACCCGACCGCTGATGAGATGATGGGGGTGAGAGGGAGGATTTAGGGGTGTGGGGAGCCTGGGAGCTGAGGCTGGAAAAGCTGCTGTGAGAAAGGAGGTCAGAGGGTTTGAGTGGGATAAATGGTGATTTTTAGTGAGCAGTGTTACAACCTGCATTGGTTGGTGGCCATGTGGGGTTTGGAGCGAAACAGGTCCATCCCTGACCGGAGGTGGATCTGCAGAAAGGGAACATGCAGGAATGAGGTAACTGGACAACGCTCTCAGGCCCAGGATGGGATTCCTGGGGTGATCCTGTGCAGGGCCAGGAGCTGAACTAGATGATCCTTGTGGATCTCTTCCAACTCAGGACGTTCTATGACTCTAAAACTGGTATTTTAGGGTATTTTTATCAGCCTCCTTGCCCCTCCCACCCTCTGGCTTGTGTTGTCAGCCTCCAAAAGCACAGGGAAATTTTCCATGAAACCCATTAAATGGGATTTTAGAACTGAAGGGCACAGTTAAACTGAGCAGTGTCTGACACAGTTCGAGGCTGCTACAACAAAGCAGCACTGGGTGAGAAATTTGGTATCTCAGTACCCAAAATAACCATTTCCCTGCACAGAGCAGCACGTGCCTTCAAGCACGGAGCAAACTTGGTGATGCAGCTGCAGAGAGCCAGGAACCAGCTCCTGAAATGGGAAGAAGAGTCATTTACATGGTAATTAATAGCATTTGTGCATGTGAGGGCCGGTGTGTCCCCAGGGACCTCCTTCATCCCAGCACACTCGTGGGGACCCCTCGTCCCCGAGAGCGGGGAAGGAAGCAGAGCCCCCAAATAACTTCATTTCCTCAAGGACTTCCCCCAGCAGATGGGATAAAATTGCTATAAAAACCCAGAATCCCGAGACAGGGAAATATAATGAGCTGTGGGCAAGGGGAAAAAATAAATGCTGAGGGATATTTATGCAGCATGGGGAGTAGAGAGACCAAATCAGAAATTCCAATTAAGTCCATAATTTATTTCAACGGAAATATTAAAATTAGAGATGGGCCCAAGCGGTGAATTTCCAATTGGGATCCTGATCCAAATGGCATGTCTGGGCTGGGTCCATGTGGAACAATCTCCATCCTGTCATGATGAACAGCATGGACCTGCACCCACTGGCAGGTCCTCCAAAAATTCTGTTGGAACCCTGTTAGATGAAGTAGCAGCATTCAAAGGGCATCATAAATGGTAGATATTGGGAGATGGCATAATTAAAAAAAATGTATATTAATATCTCTCAACCAAAAATTTACAGGAAGGAAGGAAGGATACATTGAGAAATAGCACATACACCCTGATTAAACAAGTGGGAATTAGCCCTGGGGAATGCCCAGGACAAAGAAGGGGCAGTTCCCTTTTGGTTTGGCTCATGATGTGAGGAATTAAAAGGCTGGTAAAAGCTGCTGCAGATTTATGAAAAGGTGAGAGCACAACGCGTTCAATGCCATTTCAGCAGGACTCTGTGTTGCAAATATTTACTATTAAAAATATTCTCCGTGCTTGACCAGAAATTGCTCTGGGTCTGGTGCACGGCCTGGCTCTGTCACTGCTGGCAGTAACATCCCAGGAGGGTCTGGGCAGTGGCCACGGTGGCACCATGTCCTGGCACCCCATCCCAGAACCCTGGGCCTGGTTGGGTTGTGATGGGAGCATCCCCACTGCCTTTGAGGTAACACCCATCCTGGTACTGACATGGGAATCTCAAGTAATTAGAAGAGAAAAGCCTCATTTTCTCCTATAAGAGAGTGATCCCAAAGAATGTTGCCTTAGTGGCTCCATGTGGCTCATCAGCACCAAGGAGTGGGTTTGTAGGGTTTATTTCCACCTGGGTTGCTCACCAGACATCTCCACTTGGGTCTGTGTTGCTTTGCTCTCTGGGATCCCCATCCCATGGCCATGATCTCTGTGCACAGATCAGACAGGGGGATCCACCAGTGCAGGCTCACCGGAGCACCAACAGTAGCACCCAAAGCTCTTCTGCAGGGTCAGCAGGTCAACCCCAACCCCACACACCCGCCCCAGCTGCTGGGTTTTCCTTTCAAAGCCTTGCACCTCCTCAGGAGACCTGTGTTAGCATTTCATTTCAGCCTTCCAACATCCACAGCCCTCGTGAGTCATGTTTTCCACCCCCCTCTTATTTAACACGCCGCTCTCAGCCAACACATTTTATGGCCCGAAGTCGTCGTGATTAGAAATGTGTGTTTTCAGTGTATGTTTTCAGTGTGTATTTTCAATGTACTTTCCCTCCCTCCGCCCCATTCAAACCCTCCATTTACCAAACGGAGAAAAGTATTTTAAACATGTAGATCAAAATTACACACCAGCTTAAACGTGTCACTTTTTGGCACGGCCACCTCGCTTCTCAGCCAAGACTTGCAACTAAGATTTCTGCTCCTCTATTTTATTGATGTCCTTTTTTTTCTTTTACTTTCCACGAGCACAAATAGCCACTTAAGCAAAATAGATTTAACCCCTAAGTATCTGCTCCATCTGCTTCCCTGGGGCTTGGGTTTTGTGCTGATCCACAGCATTTCTCAATACCGTGGTGGTGCTTGTTGGCCACGTGAAGTTTCTTGGCTTCTCCAAGCTGTCTCGGGTCTTTCAGCTTGGGCTGAAACCCTCTGATGGCTCCACATGAGGAGTTATGGGTTTTCCCAGTTGCAAATATGGGTTTCTTAAATAGAAAGGTCTGAATCTTAAGTAAATAGAGGCTAATTTATAGCCTGCATCTCATTTACAAGGAGTTTCTAAGGTGATGTAGCCTTTAATGCACTGTGCAATTAAAAGGGGGATTGTGGCTGCAAAAAAGAATGGCAGCTAAAAAAAAAAAAAGAGAATATGAAACACTATTTTGCACTGTATTTGCTCTTGTAACAGGAAGATCCCACCAGGCAAAGGGGCTGAGATGCCAAGGTTGGAAATGGAATATGTTTGATGACACACACAGAGAACATTTTGTCTCCTGGCACATGAGGCATAAAACACAACCCTGTTGTGCAGTGTAGGGGTTTTCCAGGCTTCTCTGCTGCATTTAGAACTCTGTGGCCTCAGGTAATAAATACATGTGTACACACACCCATGTTCATCCTTATCCCGGGCCGGGGATTAACCAAAACAGGGGAAGTGCATCCTTGGTGGAGCTCAGTTACCAAGGCTGTGCCGGAGCATCCGGGTCAAACCTGAGCAGCAGGAACAGAGGGGACAGCAAGAGGCTCTTGGTTTGTCTCTGAGTGGGTGCAGGGCACGATTTGATAATGTCCCACACTTGGAAGTGACTCCTTCCCCTGCAAACCAGGGAGCAAATCCCCTCTTCCCTATCCCAGCAATGACAGCTGCTCCCGCTTCCTGGGCTGGTGGGACATGCCAGGTCTGATGTGAGCAGGGATTTTCACTGACACCATATAGCAGTGGCAACAGATGGAACCGTAAGATCAATATACAGTCCACATAATTAAGAATCGTGTATTTAATTGCGCCTTTTCAACAAGCATTTCAAATGCTCCTTAAATCAGCCACGTGGTTTTTGATATGGGAAACAGTTGTGAAATGTTTCATTTGGAAACGGCAGAGGCTGATCCAAACAAGCTGAGCCGCTGCCTTGTGTTCGTGAAAGGTTTTTGGCAGCTCTGGGGGTGGAGGGCTCTCCACAAACCATCACTGTGTGAGTGGGTTGTGATATCCAAGAGATTAACCTGGGGGGGGTAAAGTAGAGCGCAATTAATTTTATCCTGAAAGCTTTGGGCTTAATCCTTCAAAATTCTGTGGTTTTGGATGAATCGAAGTGTTTTAAACTCTAATGGCTCCTGTGTGAGTTCACCGTTGTGGTATTTGGGGAACCTGAGGCACGGGGGGGTCCTATGGACCAGGTTAGGTGGGGGGAGCAGGAGAACTGAGCCCTCCCTGCCTCTTTTCTCCTTTGCTTGAGGGTTTGATCAAGTAGGACTAAAACCCTTCCCAAAATCAACATTATCCACTAAATGCTACAGCAGAGAATGATCTGAGCAGCCTGTTTGTAAACTTGGAAGGACTGGATGTTCCCTCACGTCAGTGTTCTCCCCTGAAAAGCTGAAATGAAAGATGTTGCTGTGGGGAAAATAATCCCATTTGGCTACTCTTTTAGGGGTCTAACCAAAGCAACGGGCTGGAAATCAAACCTGACCAAGTGGTGGTTTGGAAGTTGTCCCGTCACCTGCTGCCCATCCCCAAGCACACAGCGGGATGCTCGGGCAGCCAAAATCCTTGTGTGATTCTGGAAGGGGCCCGGGTGGTGGGAAAGATGCTCTGTTGGGGAAGGCTGGGAAAACATGGAGCCCTGGCCATGGGACCACTGCCCTCCAGCAGCTTTCTGTGTGGTGCTGTGCCAGCACTGACACGTGTTGAAGGCTTTGAATCTGAGAAGAATACCAGGGAATCATGGAATGGTTTGGGTTGGAAGGGACCTTTTCAGGTGATCTAGTCCAACCCCACTTCGGGGAGCTGGGACATCCCAGCTTCCCACCAGCCCCAGGGGACCTCGGGACAATCCAGATGGTCAGAGATGGGCAGCAGAGCCCGGGGTGCTGCAGGAGGTGCCTTTGCAACTGCAGGGGGAGACAAAATCGTGCCCCCCATATCACATATTTTTGCCATTTGGCATCATCTCTTGTTCTAAAGGGTTTCACCACCTTAGCAAGGTGCTTTTGGGTTGTTTCCACTCGCCAGTGCCATTTTAGGAGGTCATTTGTTTATCTGCTGGTTGGAACAGAACATTAAAGCCACATCCAGACAAGTCCAAGGGCTGGGAGGAGGCTGGTCTGGTCCCTCAGGAACCTCAGCCACCCCACCTGAAGGGGCTCAGCCCCAGGCCACCCCCTGGCCCTCAGCACAGCTTCTCCAGGGCTCAGGGGGCTGTGCTGTGGGGGGGGGAGATCAAGGGGGTGGAGAATCCCAACTCCACCACCCCCAGCACCTCCCAAGCAGGACCCCAGACCCTGCAGTGGTTCCTCCCTGGCTCAATTTATCCTAAACGTGGCCACATCACTCAAACGGCCTCGGTGCTCCTCCGTTCGGGCAGGTAATGATGATACAGACTCATTTATGCAAGATTATCCTTTTATCACATTTCCAGACTCATTTATGAGGCTCATGTTTTCCCCCCAAGGGCATCATCAAGTGAGTTAAGTTGTACTATTTGCCTCCTGCAGTGAACTGGCAGGAGCCTACTTCATTGACTGATGAGGGCTGCTGCCTCCGCCAAATAGGGGCTGTGTGATGGATATTTTACTTGTGAATATTATAGCTGGAAATTAGCATGTTTATTGAGGTAGAATGTGTTTGTTTACATTCTGCTACCCATGGTATTACCTTTTATGACCTGAGTTGTTTAGCTGAAGATAAGCGTAAGCGCTCCCCATCTGGGGGAGGGGAGGGAGGAAAGTAAAAAAAAAAAAAGGAAAATAATAGATTAATGAGCTCCTAGATATCAAATGATGGTTTAAGTAAGTGACAGAGGTGCCTCTCTGGGAGCTGCCTGGTTCCCCTCACCTGGGCTGGAGCACAGAGGGGTGGGAGGGAGCAGCTTGGCTCAGTTTTATCTCTTTTTGCCTGTGAAGAAAGAGGCTTTTCAGGGAGGAAACCAAACAGTCTGTCTTGAAGCATCCAGCAGCAATTGGGGTTGGCATGATGGGTGGGAAGAGCTCAGGGTCCCAATCTTCAGTGTGCAGCCCTCCCCTTTCTGGAGCTGTTCATCATCCCATTGTCTTGATTCCATGGTGAGAGCCAGGGCTCCAGCTTTGGGCTCACCAGCACATCTCAGAACAGACTTGCTTCCCCCAGCCAGGGAAAACTAGGAGATAATATATAGAAGTGCCCCTCTTTGTGTCAAATTTTCCTAAAAAGACTTATTCCTTGCCTACTTTAAATGACAGTGGCGCATTCATTATGTGAATTACCTGGTCACAGAGCTGGCTGCTGTCAGAGGCATCCCAGCCCCACAGTCAGGAGGGTCTGGAAAACAGCACATTCCCAACCCCTACAAAATGGAAGTTGTGGAAGTGCTCATCCTTGAAGTGCTCGGGAACACAGGCGTGTCACCTCCACGCTCAGAAATGCCTGCCTGGAGGAGGGAATTTGCCCTGGCAAACAGGGGGCTGGGTGCACGTTGGGCACCCTGCTCTGGGTGAGAGGTGTTTGTGGAATCACAGAGCCTGTCCTGAGCCCGAGTCAAGATTTAATTTCGTTTTCAGAGGCGCCTGCCAAGCTCTCTCTCGGTGCACGCCTGCAGACCAAAACGTGCTTTATGTCAAGGCAAAGAAATGCTGGTGTTTTTTTTTTCTCTTGCAGCTAAATTTGGCTCTAATTTTCGTGGCCTTTAAAAAGATACATCATCACATACGAGCAAAAGAGAAAAGAATTAGTATCATGTCAGCTAGGGAGCAAAGAGCAGGCTTCAGTGACGGGCAGAGCTCTCTGAAAACCGCGGCTGGGAAATCCTCCAGCTGCCCCAGAGTCCCAGGAGGCTTTCCCTGGCCTGTGGGTTGAGACTGAAATCACACCCACATCCCTATTTGCATTCACCGTGCCCGGTGTTGGGGACACGGTGGCCTCGGGGGGCTTGCAGGTGGCACCACTTCCATCTACAAGAAGTGGCACCTCAGAGAGCAGTGGGAGCGTTACCCCATCAACATCTGCCTCTCGTGCCTTGCTCACCACGTTAATTTGCTGCTGCCTGACTCTCCAGGGTGAGATGGAGACAGATATGACTTCACTGTTACAATAAGTAGTAATAAAAATTATGATTGCCAATATCTGGGAGGCACACACTTGTGAGTCGGGAGATGAAGCGAATTAACAGCTTGAAAAATTGTTGGCCCTGGCAGAAAGCAAAGGCTGTAAATGTTGGGATTATTTCCCCCGCGACAGGGCTGTCAGCAGGGGATGGTGCAAGAGGGATGTTCTCTGGCCCCCACAAGAAATCATTTCCCCTTTCCCTTGGATGTGCAACACCCTTTGTCAGGGGTGCCTTGAGTTGGTTGGAGTGTTTAATGTGTGGCAAATGTAGGCAGGTTATGCACAGATGGCCGGGAGGGGGTAAATCAGCTCTGTGTGTGTCCCACGTGTGACAGAAGCCACTGTGGATTTGTACCCACAAAGTCACTTCTTCCCAACCTCTGGGCCAAAACTTGGTGATTTATCCTGGGTCTCTGCCTCTTCCTGCTCACCAAAAGAGCTCTCAGATAACTCCTGTTATCTGTGTTGGCTTCCTCTCCTCATCCTGCTTTTGGCCTTGAAGATCCCATGTCATAAATTCCTGCTTGTGCCTTCTGCAGGAAATACTCAAAGTGCACAGTTTGCCCAATGGGCTCAACTACATTTGCATGAAGAGTTCATTGAGCAATTATGAATAACCTACAAGTTTTAAAAACAGCCTCTTTGTGGCTAATTTGAATGTTTGCTGCAAAGTGCAGCATTTGCTGAATTAATGAGTCATTACAGATATTTCACTGAGCTCTGGTGGCACTGCCTGCTGCTGCATGAAGGGCTTTTTATTCTTCCATTGCACCTGTACCATTCCAGCGACATGCAATGCTTAATTTCTGCAAATTACTCCTACTAGAGCAATATGAAATACAACTAACTTGGGGGAAGGAGAGGTATACTTTAATTAAATCATCTTGCAATTAGTCCTTGAGTGATGAGGTAAGGTGGTTTATCTCTGTGCAAGTGGTACCAAACCACTGAGGAGATGCACAGAGAGGGAATTCCAGATTTTGTAGTGGCCTTCAAATTCTTAAAGCGTCTCCAGGAGAGCTGGACAGGGACTTTGACCAGGGCCTGGAGTGGCAGGACAAGGGGGAATGGCTTCCCACTGCCAGAGGGCAGGGATAGATGGGATATTGGGAAGGAATTCCTGGCTGGCAGGGTGGGGAGGCCCTGGCACAGGTTGCCCAGAGAAGCTGTGGCTGCCCCTGGATCCCTGCAAGTGTCCAAGGCCAGGTTGGAGCAACCTGGGCTAGTGGAAGATGTCCCTGC